CCTCCCATCAAAGCCATAGATTTGAACTCAGTCACAGAAGTTGTTGACCCGCAGAACCTTACATGTCCATGGGATCTTGACTTTCGCCCACCAAAAACTGTGGTTACAGCTCTCACTCACATGATTTCTGACTTAGAAAGTGTCATTGATGATGATTCCTGTGTCTGTGCTGTCAACCTTGGCTCTCATGGTGGGTTCAGAATATTATTTGTTAGGACTTTCTCAAATTAACATTTGAATTATCATCTATTACAGTGAAAAATGAAATCAGAAAAAAATTGTAAATTATTAAAGATATTGTCTTTGGCTCAAACTAGTTAGAAAGCAGAAATATCAAAAAATATTTCTCTTCAATCTTTAGTCATTCTGGCCTCAATGAAATAATTACACTCTTTCTAAGGAAAGTAACATGATAGTTTTGACATTTCTTATATCTCTAGGGTCATTTGCAAGAGCAAGCATTGATTTGTGGGACAAAACTTTTAAGGTTGATGAAATTTCCCGTGAGGTTAATTATGAACATCAGTGGCTTAGTGCTTCAACTCATAAAACACTAGCTATAAAAAATGTCCTTGGAAATTTACGCCCAGAACAGACTGTTTTGAAACATGATCATTTAAATCTCGATGCCACAGATGTGTCTTCACTTGTTGGGGAGAGGTATGTCTCTGGATTTTGCTTAAGTGTCGTGTGCCTTAAGTTTCTCGAAGAGGTAAAATTGCATGGAAATACTGGTGTGGTGTTTTTACCCACATTGACACAAATGTGGATATTGTCACTTGCAACCTCCAAGGAACTACGAGAGAAGCTGATAAACTACATAGCCATTGAGGATTTAAGGAATCTGTCTCTAGTTCTACTGCCACTACACGTGAAGCAATGCCACTGGGGCTTACTGTGTCTTGATGTGGGTTCCAAGAAGCTCTTCTATGACGATGGTCTTCATTGGGCACCACCGAATCAGGCTGTCGAGCTAACCAAGAAACTTCTGGATGCACTAAAGGAGATGTCCCTTGAGTTTCAGACAGGATTCACACAGGATTTCGAAAAAGATAAGTGGGATCTTTCTTTTACTCGATTTGCGATGCCAGACCAACCAAAAACTGGTGTTGGTTCTGGGAGTTGTGGTGTTGGAGTAATTTTGGCAGCTAAAGATATGTTCATTCAAAGAACATCATTGCCAACATTTTTCTGGACATTTGATGAAATGGAAAAACACCGAAAGGAGATACTGTTTAAAATTATCCAGTGGATGAAGTAGACAAATGTAACAACTCGGACTTTCAAAGTAACAGTTTTTAATTATCAATTTTTCCCCCGTGCCTTCCAGGTGTCTCGCCCGAAGGCAGCAGGATTACTAGGTGACTCGCCCGTAGTTCTGTGAAAAATTGTTAATTATGTTTCAAAAGAGACTTCCTTTGCTTTCTAGGTGTTTCGCCCGAAAGCAGAAGAAATACTAGGTGATTCGCCCGTATTTCTTTGAGAAGATTCTCTCATGTGAAACATTCCCTCGTGCCTTCCAGGTGTCTCGCCCGAAGGCAGCAGGATTACTAGGTGACTCGCCCGTAGTTCTGTGGAATGTTTCATAACTACCCAAAATGGCCCAAATATGC